AAGCAGATTGAGGTACGAGGTGGCTTTGACGCACATGGCTACATCTATTACTGGAGGTCTGCCAGCAACTTGATCAATCAGCAGTTTGAGCTGTACTCGGATGTCGACGATGCAATCTCGGAGAATTCGAAGTGGGCCTCGTGCAGCTATAATGATCCGAGAGCTGGTTTTGCTCGTGATTGCTGCTGCCGCTCACCAAGCGAATCCTTCGAGCCAAACATGGGAGGCGGCGGTTGGGGCTTCTTTGCTCCGTCAAGCTACCGCACCAACATTCGCTGGTCCAAGATCCGATTCTCCATGCCAATGCAGCCACTACCAGAGACTCGGACTGTGATTTCTGAAACGGATCGCCCGAAACTTTGAAGGGGAGCGGACGTGAGATCTTGTCCCTCCTGTTTTGGGGCTTCACTGTTTTCAGTCCTTCCTCCTGCTCTGTATGCTTTCCGGTTGATTCTCGCTTGCGGGATGCTTGAATATTCGTCTGTGTGAGCTTAGCTTCCTTCTGTCTTCTTGGCATCATAGGCTCCGACAACAACAACCACGACAACGACAACGACAACCACGAGCACTTCAACGACAGGGGCCCTTCCCTCCTCCTGCGGAGCACTTGAGCCTCTGTCGTTTGGCGGGCAGAGCACAGAATTCGTGAAGATCATCGACTGGGACAAAGGAACTTCCGCGAACAACGGAGTTACCTTCGACGCAACAAGCGACTGTGTCAATGCACTCTTCAACCAGAACGGTGGTGTGTGGCTTATGGAGGTCAGTACAGATGGTAGCACCTTTCATGAGTGGTCGGTGTACAAGCAGATTGAGGTACGAGGTGGCTTTGACGCACATGGCTACATCTATTACTGGAGGTCTGCCAGCAACTTGATCAATCAGCAGTTTGAGCTGTACTCGGATGTCGACGATGCAATCTCGGAGAATTCGAAGTGGGCCTCGTGTAGCTATAATGATCCGAGTGCCGGCTTTGCTCGTGATTGCTGCTGCCGCTCACCAAGCGAATCCTTCGAGCCAAACATGGGAGGCGGCGGTTGGGGCTTCTTTGCTCCGTCAAGCTACCGCACCAACATTCGCTGGTCCAAGATCCGATTCTCCATGCCAATGCAGCCACTACCAGAGACTCGGACTGTGATTTCTGAAACGGATCGCCCGAAACTTTGAAGGGGAGCGGAGGTGAGATCTTGTCCCTCCTGTTTTGGGGCTTCACTGTTTTCAGTCCTTCCTCCTGCTCTGTAGTGCTTTCCGGTTGATTCTCGCTTGCGGGATGCTTGAATATTCGTCTGTGTGAGCTTAGCTTCCTTCTGCCTTCTTGGCATCATAGGCTCCGACAACAACAACCACGACAACGACAACGACAACCACGAGCACTTCAACGACAGGGGCCCTTCCCTCCTCCTGCGGAGCACTTGAGCCTCTGTCGTTTGGCGGGCAGAGCACAGAATTCGTGAAGATCATCGACTGGGACAAAGGAACTTCCGCGAACAACGGAGTTACCTTCGACGCAACAAGCGACTGTGTCAATGCACTCTTCAACCAGAACGGTGGTGTGTGGCTTATGGAGGTCAGTACAGATGGTAGCACCTTTCATGAGTGGTCGGTGTACAAGCAGATTGAGGTACGAGGTGGCTTTGACGCACATGGCTACATCTATTACTGGAGGTCTGCCAGCAACTTGATCAATCAGCAGTTTGAGCTGTACTCGGATGTCGACGATGCAATCTCGGAGAATTCGAAGTGGGCCTCGTGCAGCTATAATGATCCGAGTGCCGGCTTTGCTCGTGATTGCTGCTGCCGCTCACCAAGCGAATCCTTCGAGCCAAACATGGGAGGCGGCGGTTGGGGCTTCTTTGCTCCGTCAAGCTACCGCACCAACATTCGCTGGTCCAAGATCCGATTCTCCATGCCGTTGCAGCCATTCTAATGCCCCCGCGGCCAACGGAACTGCAGTCGTACGTGCTCCGCTTGCATGAGTGAGAAAGCTCATACCTTTTCATGAGTAGAGAAATCTGTTGAGCGCATAGCTGTCTTGGCTTGGCTTCGTGCTTTGGATGACAGTGCCTTCGACATCAAAGCGGCACTTTTAAACGTTCTTATATCCGAGCGCTTTTCCGGACCTCCTCAATCTGAGTTGCGCACCCCGGAAGATTACCAACGCGAATATGGTAGAACACAAAGTGCGACAACTTTCGGGGAGGCAGCGCATGGTTCAGACGCCCGAGGCGCCAAACACCGTTTTAAGCCAATCTTAGGCATGCCTTATGATGCGCCTTTGGCGCGATCCCCATTTGTAGTTCACGCGAACGCAGGCCTGGAGGACTTTGCCCCCAGAAGCAGAAGGAAGGAGTGCTGTGCCAATGTAGAGAGCCTTGTGCCTGGCACCAGAAGATCTTCCCAAAGCAGTTGCCACTTCCTTTGTCCAAACCCTAAACCCTAAACCCTAAACCCTAAACCCTAAACCCTAAACCCTAAACCCTAAACCCTAAACCCTAAACCCTGATTCCATGTCTGGTGAAGCTGTTGCTGCCAGCTGCTGCGCCATTCTTGGAGCTCCCACACGGAAAGCTGAACTTGAAGTGCCTCCTAAATCCCTACACCCCTAGGCCCTTGTTCGCCTAGGCGTGGCAAGCCTCCATCGACAAGTACAGAACCCTGAAGCCCAAAACCCAAACCCTGGGTTTACTATATCCCCCTTGGGGATTATTTTTTATTTTTGTCTATGTAAATCCCAAGGTGGTATTCATACATAATATTCTTGATTCAGGTTCTAAGGGGAGTATAGTTTACGGTTCAGGGTGGGTTTAGGACTGCCGCCTTAGATCCTCTTGTTCGCGATGTCGCAGCCTGCTCATTGCATGCGCATGGTATAAGGGGGTAGGATACTCGGGGTACCCTTATTGGGGTCCCTTATTATCAAGGGGATCCTACTCTTCGTTTTTTTTTTTTTTTTGGGGGGGGGGGGGGGGGGGGGGGCGGGGGGGGCCTTATTCTCGTAAACCCCGAGTAAGGCAGAGGGAGGTTTGTTGAATTGTCTGGAGACACTCTTCTCGGACTTCGAGTGGCTCGGCGGGCGGGTGTTAGGGTTTAGGGTTGAAGGTTTTCGGGTTTTGGGTTTAAGGGTTTAGGGTTTTAGGATTTAGGGTTTAAGGGTTAATGTTAGGGTTTAGGGTTTAAGGGTTAAGGTTTGTGAGCCGCTTGCCATCACGCCAAGCAGCGTACGCGATGGCGATGTGTGGCCCACATCGGAAGGACAATCTCCTAAAGCCCAAAACCCCAAACCCTAAACCCCAAGCCTACACTCTAGACACAGAGCCCCCAGAAAGCTCAGGGTCGAAGGTTTAGGGCTCCGGCGTCTTCGCACATCGGGACGCAGCATGTTCGGGGAGCCTGACTACAGTCTCAATTGAGCTACATGGTGGGGTTTCTGGTTCAGGTTGCAGGGTTTAGGGTTGAGGGTTTCTAGGGTTTAGGGTTTAGTAAGGGTTTAGGGTTTAGGGTTTAGGGTTTAGGGTTCAGGGTTCAGGGTTTAGGGTTTAGGGTTTAGGGTTTAGGGTTTACGTTTAGGGTTTAGGGTAGAAGAGGGTACTTGCATGTAGCGTGTTTAGGGTGTAGCGTTTCTAAGGGTTTCAAGCCCAAACCCGACAACCAAAACCCTCAAACCCTAAACTTTAGGCTTTAGGGAAAGGAGCTGAACCTAAACCCTAAACCCTAAACCCTAAACCCCAAACCCCAAACCCCAAACCCCAAACCCCAAACCCCAAACCCCAAACCCCAAACCCCAAACCCCAAACCCTAAACCCTAAACCCTAAACCCTGCAGGAGCGTGTTCACAACACCGGTGCATCGAACCGGGCAGCGTCCGAGGCTGGGAGCCCAAAGAGGGGTCCCCTGCCCCAGTGTCCTCAACCTGAACCTTAAACCTTAATCCCTAAACCCTAAACCCTAAACCCTAAACCCTAAACCCTGTTGGCAAGGTTGAGGTCGGCTTGAACGGGCTGTAAAGCGCTTCCACGGGTCCGTAGGGCTTGAGCCAAAGCCTTTCAGAGGGCGTCAAAGAGTTTCAAAGGGTTTGGGGTTCAGGGCTTAGGGTTTAGGGTTTCGGGTTTAGGGTTTAGGGTTTAGGGCTTGCTTTCCAAGGGGAGCCGCTGCGTGAGGATGGCACTCCATGGTTTGGGGTAGGGTCAAGGGCCCTGAACCCTGAATCTCCCTGTGAACTTCTCCCTGCTCGAGGTTCTTGGGTTTAGGGTTTCGGGTTTATGGTTTAGGGGTTTAGGGTGTAGGGTTTAGGGGTTTAGGGTTCAGGTTTTAGGGAGCCGACAAGCAGTAAAGATCATTTCGCGTCACCTGCGTCCTCAGAAGCAGAGAAGGCTTGCGAAAGGGAGGCGTTCTCATTTTCGTGATCAGAGAGGGGCCTGACTGGAATCCCAGAGCTCATACCGCAAATACCTTGACTTCAAATCATCTTGGAATCTGCGAGAAGATGCAAGTTGCACATATGTCGCTGTGATTGCAAAGCAGCTTGAGCCCTAAAGTCCAGGAACATGATGCAGTGAAGTATTTGAAGAAAAGCCCGGACCCCTTCCTTGCGAATTCTGCAGTGGATCCATGCCTAACCCAAATCCCTACATCCTGCGCGGTAGCAAGTAGCCCTGAACAAAATACCAAGCTCCCAGCATCCTAAACCTTCCCCGCACCTTCAGCCCCCTCTCGCTGTGGACCTGTTCAGGCTGCGGCTTTCCGTAGATGCAAGGACATCTGCCGCGGAGCCGAAAAGAGAAAGGTGTGTTGACGTCAAGGAGGAGAGTTTCATAGACTTCCACCAGAAGTGTTCTCACTGTAAGGAATGGTTGCATTTCTGAGGGCTCCGCGTCTAACATGCTGAAAGCGGCCATGTCGATTTGCACTCCCTTTCCCTACATCCCTACATGTGCTTCTGGGCACAAGCGGCCCACGGGAACAGGGAACTCCCTGGGCCGAGTGACGTAGGCTGCGGAGATATGTCCGTAGAAGTAGGGCCCACGGAGCAGAAGAGCGAGCCGGAGGAGCATGCGACGTGTAAGCACTCGGAGCACGAGACGTGTGGTCACGAGGAGATGCCCTCAGATTCGGAGCCTTCCGGCCCCCTTCTCCCTGTGACAGTTCTTAGCGGCTTCCTCGGCGCTGGGAAGACTACACTGCTGACGCACATGCTTCAGAACCAGGAGGGGCTCCGCGTGGCAGTGATTGTCAACGACATGGCTGAGGTGAACATCGATGCCATGCTTGTCAAGACTGGGACGGAGGTCCTGACTGGCAAGGACAAGATGATCGAAATGCAGAACGGACACTCATGACAATTGAAGACAGAAAGTTGAGAAGCGTTCTTTCTCTCCAGACCAAATGTCAGAACCACATCTTAGCAAAGAAGTGGTTTTTACAGTTACACAGTAGTCAACGAACACATGAGATCCACACGAGGATGCATTTGCTGCACTCTGCGTGAAGACCTGATTGAGAATGTGACCCAGCTGGCTTCGGAAGCCCGTTTCGACTACTTGGTCATTGAGAGCACTGGCATCTCTGAGCCCATGCCCGTGGCCACCACCTTCGTCACTTGGCTAGCAGGGGGAATGAGGGAGTTCGGGCCCTATAAATACCCTTTAAGGGATGATGTAGGCTATATGTACACACATATATATGTGCTATACCCTTTAAGGGATTCTATAGGGTGCCTCATTCCCCCGTTCCCTACTAACCAACGGTAAGGTCAGCGAGCATGAAGGCAGAAAGCTGCTGGGCAGCGTTGCCCGCTTGGACACCCTGGTGACGGTTGTGGACGCGGTGACCCGGTAGGCCCATGGAAGACATTTTTTTTGTTCTTCCTCATTGGTTCAAGAGGATCATATTCAGGAATATTTTTGAGAGGGGTTTATAAGGGCCATCCCAGGTGAACTTCCTAAAAGACTACGCCATGGGGGAGAAGCTGACTGACCGACCTGCTCTGGGTGCCGAGGAGCCGGACTCGCCTCATGCCTTGAAATCTGTTGCGTGCCCTGTTGTAGTGTCGGTACCGGAGAAAGAGGATCACCTCTCCACAACCACCACCCAGTCGGTTTGTTTCGGGCCTTAGGGTCTGGCTCTTCGAGGGTAGGGGTATGCGTCAGATTGGAAGCCTTGGGATGTCAACAAGCAACGGGGCCTGGAGGTTTGAGTCAGTTCCAGAGTACGGGGACCCAGTTGAATGTTGTTTTTCTTTGTCGCCGTTGCGCTGCTAGAGCCGCAAGCCTAGGTGAGCCTTCTTTAGCGTGAAAGAACATGCTTGTGGTGGGGAGGCTAGTCTCACGCAGCAAGGCGCACCATCGCGCAACTCCTCGCCGATCAAGTGGAGTGCGCCAACACCATTGTACTGAACAAGGTGGACCTCATCTCCGAGAGAGACTTGCTTAGCCAATAAGTAAACTTTAAACTTTCTGGGTTTCCTTTTATTTTTAGTAGAATATTAAAGTTTAACTTTTTTCTCCCTTGGTAATTGGAGAAGCAAGGAGAAGTTGTGCAGATGGAGGGGTTGCTGAAGCAGCTGAACCCCAAGGCCTGGATCGTCCGCGCGACGTACGCGAAGGTGGACCTCAAGCTCCTGTTCAACACGGGTAGCTTCGACATGGAAGCTCGGGTAGGCCCCTGAGGATTATATTGTTCCCTTAGTGGGTTTAAGAGGGTCATATTCAGGGCCTAAACCCTAAAGGCCCTAAATCCTAAACCCTAAACCCTATAAACCCTAAACCCTAAGCCCTAAACCCTAAACCCTAAACCCGAAACCCTTCAGAGGGTCTTAAGAGCCCTCCGAGGAAGAGGCCGAGGAGATGCCGGGGTGGTATCAAGAGTTGGACGGCGGCGAGCACGTGCCGGAGACTTTGGAGTATGGCATCTCCAGCATCGTCTTCCGAGCAAAGAGGCTCAGGGTTCAGGGTTCAGGGTTCAAGGTTTAGGGTTTAGGGTTTACAGTAGGGTTTAGGGTTTAGGGTTTAGGGTTTAGGGTGTAGGGTGTAGGGTGTAGGGTGTAGGGTGTAGGGTGTAGGGTGTAGGGTGTAGTTGGAGGCCCTTTGATCCCGAGCGGCTGGACGAATTCTTCAGCACCTCCCTTGATGGCATCCTCCGTTCCAAGGGTTTGCTGTGGGTGGCGGGCCTTGCATGCAGATTCTAGGTATCGATCTGGGAACAAATTTTCAGTTTGCCTTATGGCTGATTCATATTAAGAGCCCTAAGTATCTAAGTGATTTGGGATAAATTGTTAGTTTCCCTTGTTGCTTAATAATTAGGAGCCCTAATTATCAACATAATTTTGGGGACTGTTGGAATTCGACACCAAGGTTTGGTATGGCATCAAGCCGGCACCACCATGGGCATGTCTCCGGGCCCCGCCTGGCTCCACGGCTCCCTGGACCGCGCCGAGTGGCCTCCCGATACCCCGGAGGAATACAAGACGGCACCCTTCGGGGACATGCGCCAGGAACCCTGGGCTGCGCCGTTCTGCAGAAACTTATAGGAAGAGCATGCACACTTGAAAACAATAATATTCTTTATCTATAGTACCCCGTTTTACAATCCCCATGAAGGCCTGGAAGTAGAAGCGGGAACCTCCCTGCTGCCGTAGCCCCAAAAAGTAAGCCTGAAGCTAGCTCGAGAGGAGCTGGTCTTCATCGGGAAGAACTTCGACCCGGCAGAGCTCCGCAGAAATCTGGAGCGGGCCCTGCTCACGGATTCCGAGTTCGAGGATCTGAAAGAGCTTGGGGCGCTCGATGGGGCGGGCTAGTGAGAAGAAACCCCACCCTAAACCCTAAACCCTAAACCCTAAACCCTAAACCCTAAACCCTAAACCCTAAACCCTAAACCCTAAACCCTAAACCCTAAACCCTAAATCTCTCAGAGCCGAAGATCGACTGGAGCTTGGGAGTCCTTCTCGGAGGAGGGTTCTGCCGCGAACTGGCGGTTTCGAGAGCCGGCTCGGCTGACACTCGGAAGTAGTTTGCAGATTTGAGAATGCCTTGGGAGCATACTTAATGGTTCATGGTACTTATGAACCAATTATATCACCATATCAGGACACTTAAGGGGCTTATAAGTATGGTTATCAGTGTGGCTATCATCGGTTAATAAGTACCATGAACCTCCAAGTAAGGCTTAAGGGAGGGGTGAGTTTTGTAGCTTGGAGCTGGGGGCTGCGAACAAGTCGCAGCCATCCCGGTTCCTGCATGGCCGTTTGGCCAGGTCGCGCATCGAGAGCTCGTAGTAACTGGTAGTGCACTATCGACAAAAAGGACGGGGTTTAGGGTTTAGGGTTTAGGGTTTCGGGTTTAGGGGTTTAGGGGTTTAGGGTTTAGGGTTTCGGGGCAGTATCTGCAGACCAGAATGCCAAGATGCGTGACTTCGATGCCTTTTGTGGTGACAGTTGTTGTGCTGCTTCAAGTGTGGCGGTACAGCACTTCGGTGTGGCCCTACCAAAACACGCCGCAGAAGCCAGGGAAGCCACAGAACTTCTGTGGCCTGCGGAGCCCGTCCGCGAGGCAAACATCGGCATGTCCAAGAATCGTCGCCTGCACGCCTGCAGGTCTAGTTCGGAGTCGTTCTGAAGTTCTGGGGGCTTTTTGGGGTATGGGCAAAATAGTAGAGGAACGCCGGGGCCCAAAGTGGGACCATGAGATATGCAAGAATTCCCAGGTAGAGTCGATGACGTCTGATGGAGGTCCGCGCCTTCAAGGTTGAAAACGGATCTGAAGGTGTAATATAGGGCTCGGAATAGTTACTGATAGTATTCCCGTAAGGTCCCTCCATAATTAGCTAAAAAAGTAACCCCCACCCAAACGCCTAATCATTAAGACCTACAATGGGGTGGTGGGCTTCCGACAGTGCTTCCTTTGTGGTATCGCTGCAGTTGCCCGGGGTCGGTACGAGTCATGAGAGCAGAACATGGACGAGGGAAAACAAGACAAGGCCAAGGGAACGGGAAACGGACGCAAAGGAACGAGGGTGGGACGAGGCAACCCCGGAGTCTCAGGGAGTTGCCAGTGACCCTGCGGTTCCTGAAAATACCCTAAACCCTAAACCCTAAACCCTAAACCCTAAACCCTAAACCCTAAACCCTGCAACACACAGCTTTGAAGAGGCGCTTCTTACTTTTGCCAACCTTTTTGGGGCCACATGACTTTGGTGAGGCTTTTGTGATGGCCCGGAAGCACGAAAGTGACCGCGCGCGTGTGTGTTGCAACGGATGGGCGCGCTGTTTGCTTGCCCTCTCAAGCTGACGTTGCACACACTCTTGTACTCCCCAGCTTGCGCGGAACAAGCTGCCTAAACAACCAACGCAGCTCGGAAGCGTTGCACTTAGCTTCAGACATCTGGCAGTCAAGGCCGAAGGCCAGCCTCTTACTCCTACTCTGTCACAAAGTTCGCGGCGGGGCGGTTTTTTTTGGTCCAAGTGCCGCATGCAAGCCCAGCGCCTCCTAGCTCATAGCTCAGGCATGTCTGCTCCCTCCTGAAGGGACGGAGCTCAGATTCGCCCATGGGTTGCTCTATTTTTAAAGGTTCCCGAGCACGCCGCGGAAGGTGCGCAGCAGGGTTTGTCGAGACCGATGAAGAGCAGCTCTCACCAAGATCTGATGCACAGCTGGCCGAGCTGCTCGAGCAATCACGGCGAATCGCCCACATGGCTGAAGAGCAGCAAGAGCTCCTGCCGCACTCGCAGGCTCAAATTTCGGAGCTTGCAAGGGACGTCGAAATGGTTCAGAGCGCGGTAGCAGAGCAGCAAAGGCGGTCGGACCGCCAAAAGGTCATCTACTACCGGAGCTCATTGCTTGAGAAAGCAGAGGACGTTTACGACGACATTCTTGCCTGGCTCCATCTGCGCAAGGCAGCATGGCAGGGTGTGGGCGAGCTTTCGATTTAAAGGCTGTGTATGCGAAAAGTCTAGCAAGTAGGAAAGCCCCTTGAAGGTGGCGTGTCGGTCTCATCGCAGCGTGCGTCGAGCAATCGTCCTGTATACTCGCGTGTCGATGGCCCTTGACATCTACACAGACTTCCTGGTTGGCTGGGATGCGTGGAAGTCTGGACAGCCACACTGGGCCGTTGCACCTTGGTGAAGTTCATCGATGACAGTTTCTTTTTTACTGGGTATACACTCAAGCCAGCCCAGTCTGCCCGCAGAATTACGCGCCCTGGCCAGTCTCGTTCTGTTTGCCTCCTCGCGTCTCGGTCCTGAATTCCTCTGTCCATCTCCTTGGAAGCACTCTCGCTCTGGCTCACGCACCCTGTCTCTCTTTCTCTCTCCCAGTCCCTCTCCCTCCCAGCTTCCATCCTGCCTTTCGATCTCACTTTACATCCTCATTTTTGAGATTGTCTTGGGCTTGCTTTGCACCTTCCCTTGCTCATGCACGGCCTTTCCCGTCGCTCCCTGTGGTGTTGCCTTGTCCACCAGGGCATTTTCTTCATCATGGTTCTGACGTACATCCTCATGTGGCTGGCTGTGTGGACGGAGTTCTCGCAGCGCGTTCAAGACAAAACGGGATGCCGAAGCTATCCGAGTCGGTTTTGCATACAGGCAGCTTGTTTTCAACGATTGAGGAAGCACCTGGCGACAGACAAAGCACAGTCATAAGACCGTTTCCGAAGTTGATGGTGGCACAAAGCACAGTCTTTGGCAGCTGCTTCCCTGGCAGGTCACGTGGTTTCTTTTTGGAGTTCCGACACTGATCATAGCAGACGTCGTGCTGGGAGTGATCTACTTGACTACTGAGCCTGCGGACGTGGAAATTTTCCACTACATGAAGTTGCGAGGCATGTGAGAGTGCGTAGACGGGCCTCAGACCTACCAAGCGTCACCGCCTAAACGTTTAGGATGCACCGAAAACCTTTCGGAGGCCTCATTGAGCTGGTGGAGGGCGTTCTTCAGGCCATCATGCAGGGGATTATGCTGCTCAGCATGTGGTGCCACTTGGCAGCGGCTTCGCATTGCATCAAATAGAGTATTCTTTTATGGTCAACACTGTAGACGAGAGACTAGTGTGCTCGTACTAGAGTATTATGCTGCAAGCTTTTTGATAGCACACCCTAAACTTGAAAGGATGGCCCTTGCACAGAGGTTTTCGGGCTGGGCTTATTCACGATTTTGGCTCAGGGCCGTGGGAACCTTTTTTGAGGACATACCTTCCTACTTTCCCGAACCCCAACCCACCTGTTGTGGAGGCGCCCCTTAATTGAGGAGGGTCCAAGATAAATCTGTTCAAGGCTTGCCTTTCCATGTCCATTTCAGCAGCATCGGCAAGTTCACCATTGCCGCGTCCGTAGCGTTCTCCGCGCTGAGTGCCTACACTCATTATGTTTTCCTGGCGAAGTATGCAGCACTGCAGGCTAAAGGACTCCTCCTCAGTTGTAGTGGTGATGCCCACAGCCCATGTTGTGATGCGAAGTAGCGGTCAATGTCAGTCCATGGCCATGGCAGTTGCACTTGTTTTTCTGGTTGGCCTGCCAAGGAAGCAAGTGGCAGTTTTTCCAGCATATGCTTTGCCTTGGAAGGGGTTTGGTGCCCTCGAGCCTTTATCAAGAAATCGAGATTCTGGCTGAGGCACGTCACCTACATGTTCTAGCAGCTAGGAAGCAGTGTGGTGGGAATATATTCTGGGCATTGTCGTGCTTTGGTCTTGGAGCCCTCTACCCTTGAGCAGGTTGACTGTCCGCACAAGCTCAATGGCATTTCTCTGCGCGAGATGCACGAACTGTCGCGATTTATGCAGAAGAGTGCGACTTTGCGGACATTTCGCTTCCAGGACAGCTTACGCACACGAGCCCCGACACTCTCACCATCTTGCTGCGGCATGTTTCAACTAAAACAGGATCACAGGAAGTGACTTTATAGGGACTTCCCCGGGAAGGCGGGGGTGATAAGGGTGGTCCTGGGCTCATATGAGGCTTTGCTCAGGCTAAGCTTTGTGCCAGGCCTGCGTCAGTATATAGTTATGCTTCAAACTCGCAAGAAGCTGACGTGTACTTAGGCAGGTTTGACATTCAAGTGCTTAGAATCAGCCCACGAGGACGCATCAGTCCTGGATCCGGCACGTCTTCCGCATTCAGCTTCCACGCCCCGCCTTTTGCCGAGAAGAAACGTTGGACTCTTGCCTGGATGGTGTTAAAGGTTGGCATAGTGCTTGACTCAGCCTCGGCAGGTTGGCAATAGGTTCGAAACGGGCCACTCAGTTGGGCAATGCTCGCAAGAAGTTCACCTCAGCCCTTCGCTAGCTCACCGCTTGCTGCAACGTCATTCAAGTTTGGGATCAAGAGCAGCCGGGAAGCCTTAAATCCTGAACTGACTGCTCCTCGGGGCAGCATGCCATGCGAGTCAGCAGTCTCGGTGGAGCGAGAATTGAGTAACTGTCACACTGCATGTGCTATGCAAGGTGACACTACCCTGTTTGTGGAGAACCTTATGCACAGCGTTGCCTTGCAAGACTTGCAGATAGAAGATGGACTGAGTGAAGATGCAGTGAACCTTATTCTGCATGTCGTGTCCCGCATGTGGTCTAATTCTGGCGCCCTCAAGCGCATTCAGCTCATCGCGAACCGCATCATAGTCGATTGGGATGATTGGCGCGTGTGGGACGGTGAGAAGGCCTTGTCTTTGCATCCTCGCGAGCTAGTCGAGATGCACATCGACGCACTGCGAGAGCATCTGCCCCAGTATTCCGGATGTAGAGTGATGATCTTCCATGATAGTTCCTCTATGAAGATTGTTTCTTCAGACAGGGATGTCTGCGGGATGTCTTTCAACGACGGCGAAGTGCAGGTTGACTCAGCCTACTGGGTAAAAATTGCCATAAGGAGGGGCGAGAAACCGAATGTCCGGACAGAAGGCGAAGCAAAGGCAGCGAATGGGTCAAGTGTGAGCCTAGCAGCGCGACAAGGCTCCTGGCAACAGTTGCGCTCCGAACTGCTGAGGCGCAAGTGCGACAGCTTTCATGCCATTGTATCGCTGACGTCAAAGGTGCGAAGGTTTCAGTGTTTCCATGTGCATGGACTAGACTGACTAGAGGCCTCTGCAAGTTCACAAACAGGTGGGGGCATAATTATGACTCAAACAGGTACCGACCCATACCCCATTTGGGTTCTTCACAGTTCTTTATGGCTAACTATCTGGGTGAACATTCGATTTCAGAGCTGGGGCTGCACTACGTTACGAGCTGTTTCTGGTGATTGGTTGATTCTTTCGCGGGCATTTGGGTTTGTTGCCAGGCGTCAAGATGTGCGCGAAGCTGCAGCGGCACCTGGTTTGTTGGAAATGGTGGCACAGCGCGGTGGCACGACCCAGGCCAAGGTTCTGGACCTGCTTCTGGTAGCTGGTGCTTTGCCTGGGGCAGAGGCGCTTTGCAAAGCATGCATCTCAGGCGAAACTCAACAGGTGCAGATTCTCTTGCGGCACGGAGCTGACGCGATGTGCTGTCGCCCGTTTTCGGACAGACGCCCGACTCCAATGCACATTGCTGTTGAAAAGAACTTTGTCGACATCTTGCGGCTTCTGATTCAGAATTCTGCGGACATGAATGCCGTGGACAGTCTCGGCCAGACGCCTTTGTTTTACGCTGCTGCAAACCAATCGGTGGAAGCCACACAGCTTTTGGTAGACCAGAGAGCGGACGTATTCAAGTCCGACGAAAAAGGGATGACAGCGCTACATGGCGCAGCCGCACATGGGTCGGTGGATGTTTGCGGGCTGCTGCTCAAGAGCCGTGCAAGCATTGACGCACGGATGAAAGATGGCACGACGCCCCTTTTTCTTGCATCTCGATCCGATGCTGTGCACACTGTGGAGTTTCTGCTGGATCACCGGGCCGAGGTCAACAAAGGCAAGCAGAATGGCACGACGCCGGCTTGTGTTGCCGCCACTAAGAATGCTGCTCGAACCTTGCAGGTCTTGCTGCAGCACAAAGCAGATATCAACATGACGGACAACAATGGAAGAGGACCTTTCCAGCTTGCACGTGAGCAAGGAAGCATGGACGCCCTAGCAGTTCTACAAGATCCCAACATGCCATTAGCGGATGGCGTGATGCTGATGCCAAAGCTTGCAGGCAAGGCTGCAGGACGATGGCAGATGGAACCGGTTCTGCATTTGGTTCACCAGAGACCAGACGTCAATGCCAGCGTGTCCCACTTGATCTTGGCTGCCGGGTCTAAATCAATAGAAGCTGTAAAGCTTCTCTTGGAGCGCAGAGCAGATGTCAACCAACAGACAGGAAGGCTAGGGGAAACGGCGCTGCACACAGCAGCCGAAAACGGGTCGGTGGATGTCTGCGGACTGCTGCTCAAGAGCCGTGCAGGCATTGACGCACAGATGAAAGATGGCACGACGCCCCTTTTTCTTGCATCTCAATCCAATGCTGTGCACACTGTGGAGTTTCTGCTGGATCACCGGGCCGAGGTCAACAAAGGCAAGCAGAATGGCACGACGCCGGCTTGTGTTGCCGCCTTTATGGATGCTGCCGGAGCCTTGCAGGTCTTGCTGCAGCACAGAGCAGACATCAACATGACGGACCACAATGGACGAGGACCTTTCCAGCTTGCACGTGAGCAAGGAAGCATGGACGCCCTAGCAGTTCTACAAGATCCCAACATGCCATTAGCGGATGGCGTGATGCTGATGCAAAAGCTTTCAGGCAATGTTCCCGATTCTCTTCTAAAGTATGCGCTGGATTTGGTTCACCAGAGACCAGACGTCAATGCCAGCGTGTCCCACTTGATCTTGGCTGCCGGGTCTAAATCAATAGAAGCTGTAAAGCTTCTCTTGGAGCGCAGAGCAGATGTCAACCAACAGACAGGAAGGCTAGGGGAAACGGCGCTGCACACAGCAGCCGAAAACGGGTCGGTGGATGTCTGCGGACTGCTGCTCAAGAGCCGTGCAGGCATTGACGCACAGATGAAAGATGGCACGACGCCCCTTTTTCTTGCATCTCAATCCAATGCTGTGCACACTGTGGAGTTTCTGCTGGATCACCGGGCCGAGGTCAACAAAGGCAAGCAGAATGGCACGACGCCGGCTTGTGTTGCCGCCTTTATGGATGCTGCCGGAGCCTTGCAGGTCTTGCTGCAGCACAGAGCAGACATCAACATGACGGACCACAATGGACGAGGACCTTTCCAGCTTGCACGTGAGCAGGCCTCCGTCCAAGCGCTTGATTTGCTTGGAAGGCAGCGCCGCTAGGAAAGAATTGTTTAAGCGAATCAAGGATGTCGCGGCCATTTCGACATACAGGCCATGTGCTGCAAGCTAACACCTGGCTTGAAAAGTGTGCTGAGCCCAAGCTGTGCGATGCCCGGAGACCGACTGGCAAGCCCGGATTCACATGGAGTTGCCAGTGACCATGTGGCATGCCTGCAGACTTGCGTGAGTTCAGAAGTTCAGACATGCAACCGCATCATGTATCGCTGCGGCCCTGTTCCGCCTGTTCCTGCAAAGGTTTTACAGCCGCAGTAAAGTAGGAGACAACGTATCAGTGTAGTAGATCTGAGTATCGTAGATTTCCATTCGTAAGATTGTAGACTTACTATATGCTCACCCTAACAGCAGAATTGCTCACTCTACAGTAGAATGGAAGCAGTAGACTATGGAGAAAAAACACCGTCTTCTCGGGGTGCCCCCTGGACAAAGCGGTCCGGGCTTGGACTGATGGGCCGCTTTTGAGCAACACCCTAACCCCTAAACCCTAAACCCTAAACCCTAAACCCTAAACCCTAAACCCTGTTCTCTTCTCCAGATATCGCGATGAAGGTGTGCGGAGTGCCAAGTTTCTGAGCGGGCGTTGCTCGTCCATGTTTTGGGCATGTTGAGTGATCCCATTCGCCCAGGCATCATGTTCGAGTCCGGGCAGACAGGCATGCTGTGTCGCGTGGTTTGTGGTCATGCCATGACCATCAGAATCGTTTTAAGGGCTCGGTGAGATGCAGATCAAGAGACCAGGACCGTTTCGTTGAGTCCCTTCCGTCAGTTCTTCGCGGAGTTCAGTGCTTGTGTAGGTGACCCTCGAAGATGCTCCCATCCTCGCTGGCGGTGGAAGAGGATTACCAGGCACGGACAGGGCGCAGTTCTTGCAGTGTCACAGGAAGCCACTACATGCCGCTACCAAGTTCGCCACTTTGAGAGAAAGCTGCAAGTTTCGCACTAAGCCGCTGGTGCAATAGTTGTGGAAACTCCCGCAAGTTAGACAAACTACAGTGACAGCTGGATGTAAAACAGCGAAGTTTCGATGAGGGCACCCTCAGTTTCTTAATTATGCAGCCCGCAACTGCCTCCACAGGTTTAGCGAATCCTCGGTGTCTCAGATCACTTCTTGTTTTGGGATTCGAGCCGGAAGTCTTTACACAAGAAGGTGCGACGCCATTAGCACAAGGCAGGCCTGGAGTATCAGATCCCATTCCTCAGCGAAGTTTTTTGAGGGAGCCGGTCCCTGAAATAAGACATCCAGCCCAAGAAATCCAGCCCCTCACTTTCGTACTGACAGGGTGCCGGCCGCTGAGACAAGAAATCCAGAAATTTCGATGCTTCATACTTTGGGGGTCGCAGGGCCCTGCGTGATTTTATCTAGCGAGTTGTGGATTCGATGTGTCCCTGAATTCATAAATCTAGCTCCAACTTGTTTGGATCTCTGCTTTCAAAATCAGAATTGAGGGGCTTCATGCCTTTAGTTTACGAAATACGCGGGGCTGAATTTTCTTGATCCAGTCGACCTCGAATAGGGTCAAGGGGTTTCATGTTTCGGGCTCGTCAGGAGGATTTTAAGAGCCCAACACCTAATTTTCTGTAGGGTATTACTCTCAGGCCCCTTATAGGGTTCTTAGGCAACCTACAAAATATTTTTTGGGGTTCGGAAGAGGAAGGGCAGGCCACCCGCAGCCAGAAGGCACTAAACACCTCTCGATTCATAGTGCGCTCTTGGAGGAGAAACACACAGTCCACACGACCATGGCAGGGGTTTAGGGTTTAGGGTTTAGGGTTTAGGGTTTAGGGTTTAGGGTTTAGGGTTTAGTTCAAGGGTTTTAGGGTTTAGGGTTTAGGGTTTAGGGTTTAGGGTTTAGGGTTTAGGGTTTAGGGTTTAGGGTTTAGGGTAGTCCAGGTCTGACGAAGTACAAGTAAAGAGCCAGCTGTTGGCGATCGCCGTGCCCATGGCTGCAGAGCCCTCGCCTGAGACAAGGTATTCCTATGAGGTTGCGGGCGACGACACCATTGTTCGCCTTCAGAATGGGGAAGCGTCGCGTGTGGTTCTGGTAGAGCTGCCGGACACTCTTCGTAGCCTGCTGAACCGACTCCACAGACACCGTGCCCTCGTGAATCGAATCGAGAATCTCGAAGACGTGGAGATAACGGCTCGCGTTGGAGGCAAGGCCCCTACAACTTTTGCACCGAACATAGCCAGCTCCTCCTGAAACAACTTAGTAGTAGAGTAGGTAACCTTGAAGCTTTTGAGGGGTTCTATACCCCCTATAGAATCCCAACAGTTGTACCTTTAAACCCTAAACCCTAAACCCTAAACCCTAAACCCTAAACCCTAAACCCTAAACCCTAAACCCTAAACCCTAAACCCTAAACCCTAAACCCTAAACCCTAAACCCTAAACCCCACCCTAAACCCTAAACCCTAAACCCTAAACCTTAAACCCTAAACCCTAAACCTTAAACCCTAAGCCCCAAATCCGTAACCCTCAGATCTAAGAAAAAAGTGGCCCATGCGACAGCTGGCTCTGACGCTGAGGTTTTGAGAGGCCCGTGCGGGCAGACGACGACATGAGGCAGGTCAACAAGCGGTGGCTTGAGACCAGCCCTGCCGACACCTTGAGACTAACACTGCGCTCGCGCCCGCATGAAGATGCAGTAGTGCCAGTAGTGCCAGTAGTGCCAGTAGTGCCAGTTCTGGAGGAAGCAGGTGCAGCTACGCCCCCCTTGCCCACCAGCCAGGATGAAGAGGTCAGAGAAGCACGCGTGAGAGTACACAAGACAACCTCGCGCTCAAAGATCCTCGCGTTGTTGCTGCTAGTTCTGGGTCTCTGCGCGGCTGTAAAAGGTGTAAGTGTTGCCACTGCCTGGAGAATGGAGCTGTCAGATGCGAGGGCTCATCAGCTCTCCTTGGAACAGAAGCTGAAGGCGATGAGCGGGGAGCTCTTGCTCCTCCGCACCACGGTGGCCGAAGTGGTGTCCGCAACGGAGGCTTTGCAGGCGGAGCTGGCAGATGCCAGGACGGGCCAGGCAGCCTTGCACCGAGATCTGAAGGGCATGAGCGGGGAGCTTGCTGCTCTTGGCAGCAAGGTGGCCAAGGTGAACACTGGGAGTGAGCCGGGCCAGGCGACTACACGGACTCACTGAAGCCTTGCTTCTCTCTGGGGCAGAAGAAATGGCCCGTTAAGGGTTTAGGGTTTTAGGGTTTTGGGGGTTAAAGTCTTTTTGCTTGCCTGAATAATATATGCACGTCATGGTTTACGACAGCTGGTATGCATCGGTACTCATGTACGCATATGTATAGGTGGGTGCTCAGACACATTAGAACAACAGGTAGACAAGTCGACAGACAGATAAGTAGATAGATGTCAGCCACACGCTCAAGGTTTAGAGTTGTAGGAGAAATGCCTCTTTGGACTGCGTGCCGGAGTATCGTGAGCTTAGGGTGGTTCAGTTGTCTTGTCGGTATGTTTGGTTGTCGGCGAGGGGGCCAATCGTCAGACCCTAAAGCACCAAGCCAAGCCACAAAGCCCGATAAACCCTACAACGCGAATCTGAGGAAAAAGTCGTTAGTGTGTTGCGCCACAAAACCACACAACATCATACGACAGTAACCTAAAGAGAGAGAGAGAGAGAGAGAGACAGACAAAAAACAAACCCTAAAGCCTAAAGCCTAAAGCCTAAAGCCTAAAGCCTAAAGCCTAAAGCCTAAAGCCTACAGCCTAAAGCCTAAAGCCTAAAGCCTAAAGCCTAAACCCTAAACCCTAAACCCTAAAGCCTAAAGCCTAAAGCCTAAAGCCTAAAGCCTAAAGCCTAAAGCCTAAAGCCTAAAGCCTAAAGCCTAAAGCCTAAAGCCTAAAGCCCCTAAACCCTAAAACAAGAGAACTCAGAAGTCTTAGTGGCTGCCCTTGTTTCAGGCGACGCCCCGATGTGCCTTCGGTGCCGCTCCGAGCCTCGAGGGCAGTTTTCGAGGGCCCACAAGCTTCTGGGCCTTAGGGTTTAGGGTTTAGGGTTTAGGTTTTAGGGTTAGGGTTTAGGGTCTAGGGTCTAGGGTCTAGGGTCTAGGGTCTATGTCTAGGGTCTAGGGTCTAGGGTTCCGGGTTTGTAGGGTTTAGGGTTTAGGGTCTGTCTGCTCAGCACGAAGGATGCCGATTTTTGGGCTTGGATATGTCTTTGGGACAGTTTTGTCTCCCCAAACCGTGCTTTTGCACTTTCTTGAGTTGGGAAAAGCGGAACGAGACGCCCCCCGCACGTCCGTGGGCCTTCCCTTTCGGTGCCATGGAGGATTCTAGATGCCCTCTTGCCCCGACGTGCCGTGAAACCAGATAGCCCGTCTGCTTCTTGATCATTCTTGCTGGCGTTCATCTTTGACCGTACCGTAAACGGAGCTTGCACATTGGAGTTTTCGACTTTTGAAAGAGACCCTCTCGCCTGGGCTCCGTGCGAATCGAAAACGGCGGCCCGTCGAATTCCAAAAGTCCTCTGCGGCAACCGCTGCCTGGGGTCTGGGCCGGCAGAGAAGGGGATATTGGGCGCCTGGATCCCGGCTTGGAAAGGGCCTGGGCAGAACCTCTTTCACTGCTTAGGCGAACTTGCGTAGGGCGTATAGGGCTCTGGGGAGTGCAGGGCGCAGGCCCCTCAAGCCGAGATGCCCAGAATCCCAGGAACCTACTTTTCTCAGCGGCCTCTGTTGAGCAGAAGGGTTCCGGTGAAATGGGAAGCTTCAGGAGGCTGTGGACGCATATATTGCAGCCATGTCCCAAGTGAGTTCTGTTGGTGCACGTTTTTGCGCAGGGTTGCAACATCGAAGTTTGAGGGCGCTTTAGGCTCGAGAGGGTAGCAAAAGCTAGCACCACCTGCAACCGCCATGCGACGCTCCAGCAGCATGCGACGCTCCAACAGCAGGATTGTAGAGCCCGAGGGTTCGGACCATCTACAGCTGCAGGCCATGTGGGTCGTCAGCGTCGCAGATGTGTTGCAGATCTGTGGGCCACCCACGGTGCACGAAGAGCTCCGCGCCGCAGGAAAGGTTGTCCCACACCGTCCCGGCATGTACACCGTCTTCGTCTCCCACCAGTGGCTGGGACTGCAGCATCCAGATCCAGAGGGTGCTCAGTTCCAGGTGCTACAGCAGGCTTTGCGAGGCTGCATCGAGGGCACGTTGCCCGGGCAGGCAGATTTGGTGACGCAGTTTTACCTTGGGGATCGCCGCCTCTCTCCTCAGGAGCGAAGTGCCCTGGCACAGGGCCATGTATGGATGGACTGGTTCAGCATTCCGCAGGTGCGCGGCAGAACCAAAGATCGGCGTTCTTCGGTGAGGTCCATCCATGGTCCCTCCACTCAGACATTCGGCCTCCAGAAAGCTTTGCGACTACGAGTCCTGGCTGGAGCGGGGTTGGTGCAGGGCACCTCGAGCTGATCTAGAGATGTTGTTTTCCCCACATCGTTCTGTGGGGGTCATGTTATTGAGCTGTATGGCAGGTGTGGCCCTAATTTTAAACCCGTTGTAGACCCTATGTCGCCCAGTAGGGCCCCCAAATCGGATCTCAGGCCGAGCTTTGGTGTGCCCAGCTGTCCAACAGAGCGGACTTGCCCATGGTGGTGGTGCACGCAGGGGATGACGCCGAGGTCGCAATGGCCAACCATTGGATCTTTGCACCTGCGCACGAGGGAGTCTTCACCGTGGATGCCGACCGCCATGAAGTCATTGACTTCATCGAGACGGCCCTGCGTGGACGCATTGCATTTCTCACGAAGCACAAGCAGCAGGTGGACTTGTCCCGGTATCTCAAAGCCAGGTTGCAGGATTGGCTTGGACTCCCCGATGCCCAACGCCCGCCAGCTTCCTTTCTGTCCCACTTCGGCTTCGCCGATATGAAGGAAGCCATCCGGACAAGGGCCGTGGGCGGCATGGCCTGCGCTGCTTTATCGGGTGATGTGTCCATGGTACGAGCACTTGCCGACGCAAAGGCCTCCATGAGCACCTTCTGCCACCCCATGTTGTCTGTTGGCGTCATGGAGTATCCGCCCTTACACCTTGCCCTGGCACGTGGTGCCCGGGGTCACGCCGTGGTGCTGGAGCTGCTGCGCCAGAGAGCCGACCCCAACACAACCTGCCGCTTGGGTCTCCCGTGCCTTGGAAGTTGCCGTGATGCAGCTTCCGTTGAGATTCTGGTGCGGCATGGTGCGGATGTGAACTGGCGAGGTGGGAAGGTGTGGGTCACCCCTCTCGGCTATGCTTGCTCCAAGTTGGCACCTCTGGAAGTTACCAAGAAGCTGGTGGAACAGCGGGCAGATGTCAACTTGTCCACGACGCCCCTTTTAAATCTGGCTCTTTTTAGCAGGACTGTCCCGAACTTCGCCGTGAGCACTGCGCACGTCTTGCTCCAGGCTCGTGCGGACGTCAATCGGCCGGAGCGTCTCGTGGGCCTCTTCCGTGTCCTGGAGATTGTGGGCAGAGTGCAGTTATGCTTCAGGAGACGCAGCCAAGTAAGCCGGCTCTTCTATGTGTATGGGGAAGGCAGCACGACCCCCCTCGGCTGGGCAGCTACTTCGGACAACGCGACTCTGATGAAATTCCTCCTGTCGGCCAAAGCTGATCCAGATATTCCCAATCGTCGTGGCCACACTCCCAGACAACTGGCAGTAGATGCTCACGTTCGCAGCGTCTTCGCAAGCCACCAACCGGCCGTTTTCAATCACGTCCCTGGCAAGGGTGGCGGGAATCTTACGCAATGCGCTTCGCAGCTCGAAGATGATGATGCCGACATCTTGTCCTTGTGAGTGGTAGGGTGGCAGGACCTGGACCAACCAGGTGGGTCAAACTCGGTACCCTGCTTCGTGAAGTTTTTTGCCCAAATCCCTCCGAGACGCAGAGACCCTGAGCTCCAGCTTTTAAGGTTTCTTCAACCATCCTGGAACTGACTAACACTGTGGGGTTCATTCAAAGACGAAGCTTTTCGGGTTTAGGGCATTGAGCTGTCTACTTGTACCATGAGGCTGGCCTTTGGGATTTGGGGCTTTAACAAATTTTAGGGTTGCGCAGTATATCTTCAGAGGCGTCGACGGTGGCTCAGAGTTTTACGGCACAGCGGCTCTTGCGGGAAGATGCTCGAGAGGTTTTTAGTCGCAGGGTCTCTGCCGGAGCTCCGCGCATTTCAATTTCTGAAGATTTGGTGAGTTGGCCGCGCCGGATCAGACTTTAGGAGTCAGGGTGCAAGATAGTATGCTTGGTCATAGTTGGGTAACATTTTGGATGTTTAAGGGTACTTAATTTTAAGCCCAAAAAGGAATATAAATTTACGTTTTTCATACGATCCCAATCATGAACTAGTATGGATGGGATGTCGGATGCTGGTTTGGAGCTGAAGCTTCTGATGTAGGGACTTCGAGCCCTGCGTCGGGAATGTGTTGCCCGTGAAGTCAACGGTTCGGGAACCCTTCGCTCGAACACATCCGGAGGTCTTTGAGCTCAAGTTTTGAAGGCTTGAGAGTGACGTTGGCGTTCAGGGTTCTTAAGCCCAAGATGTCGGAGGTAGAACTCTGCAGGCTGCAGACCGTGCAGTTGACAGTTTTGAAGCTGGCGAGTGACCCAACAATTTTGTCTCAGAAGCCCAGTGGAAGGATCTCTGCAAATTCAGTTTCCTACGGCTTCTTCAGCTGAAGCGCTGGGCATAATACACACTGCACATCGCTTCGCCTTTCTTTTTCAAGGTCCCCCGCTGCCATGCTGCCTCGGCCAAAACATCTGGGGTCCCGCGCCCTCCCATCCCAAAACCATCCAGAACATGCAATGCCCATAAAGCCCAGGGAAGTAACCCTAAACCCTAAACCCTAAACCCTAAACCCTAAACCCTAAACTGATGTGTGGTGTTCATATCATGGCAGATGGGGGGGGGGGGGGGTTGGGCCCCCCGCTTTCCAGCTGCATCGTCAAGAAGGCGGCAGCCTGGAGTAGCGAAGCGTGGCCCTTGTTGGAACGGTTTTAGGGGTTGGGGGTTTAGGGTTTAGGGTTTAGGGGTTTAGGGTTAGGGGTTTAGGGGAGTGGGTTCAAGATTTTTGATTGAGCTGCTAGAGTGCTCCAGCGGGTGAAAAAGCTCTCACGCTGCTCTCACGCTTTTGTACAGACGTGTCTCGTGTTTCGCAGGAGAAAGCAACACCCACTGCCGGGAGCACGCTGCACTCCAACGCCTGCGTGGGTTCGCAAGTCCTGCCCGCGGAACTGCCTAACAATCCTTTGCCGCAACGTGCCGCAACATCTATGCCCGGCGCCGGTGTGTGCAATTTTTTTGTTTGAGTCGTTCTAGTTTGGGGCTGACTTTGCGAAGAAGAGGTTTTAAAGCTCCAAATGCGGATGCGGCGCTTTTGTCCACAGCACAGCGCCAGAATGGCCCATATGCCCTTTGCGAGGATCTGAAAATTCTTTTAAGGCTCCGACGCCTCGATTGCCGGGAGGCTGAAGCCTGAAGCAGAGCCCCATAAGGTTCTCGGATGTTCTCATCGCTCGACGGAACTGACGGAACATACGGTTGCTTTGGTTCAGGAATACAAAGGCTTCGGGCTTCCCAGACGAGCGGGCGCCCTGAATGGCTCAGCTTATGTCTGGCCTCGATTTGATGTGCGTTGAGCTAAGATGAACTGTTTGGAGTTCAGAGCCAGCGGACTCCGTGATTCGCTTCAGCTGGGTTCACTCATTGACTCATGTTCACTCGGTGACTCTGTCCCAAACCCAAAGCGTTGAAGTCTTGGTTGATTCCGCACATCTCCTCATCATGCACGCGGTTCTGGTTGCCCGCATCCCAAGTTCTGACTTCGCTCATGCTTGCTTCTTGATGCACGCGGTGACGTGTGTGTATGTGTGCGCAGAAGTAGACCCTAGCTTGACAGCCTTCAAGCCTTCATGGCATGCACGGGGACCGGGGCTTTGGAAGTCAAAGCGATCAGGTCTCGGATGATCCAAGTGATCGCTGCATCTGTGTTGTGCATCGAATGCTGATCACAAAAGCTCGCGACCCCCCCTTCTGTTTCTTTTGCTACACCTCTGTGAACTGATAATTGCCTGCTACTTGAGAAAGGAAGTTCATGCAAATCGCATGTACAGCGATGCGCCACATCTGGCAGCCATATCCCAGGTGAGATTTGTTGGTGCAAGTTTGGGAGTTTTGCGCAGGGTTGCAAAATCGAAGTTTGAGGGCGCTTTAGGCTCGAGAGGGTAGCAAAAGCCAGCACCACCTGCAACCGCCATGCGACGCTTCAGCAGCATGCGACGCTCCAACAGCAGGATTGTAGAGCCCGAGGATTCGGACCATCTACAGCTGCAGGCCATGTGGGTCGTCAGCATCGCAGATGTGTTGCAGATCTGTGGGCCACCCACGGTGCACGAAGAGCTTCGCGCCGCAGGAAAGGTTGTCCCACACCGTCCCGGCATGTACACCGTCTTCGTCTCCCACCAGTGGCTGGGACTGCAGCATCCAGATCCAGAGGGTGCTCAGTTCCAGGTGGGGATTTACGAAAGTAGGCGACCCCCCATATAGTCCCCCAAATAGCAAGGCTCCCCTAGAATAATTCAGGACCCCAATAAGGTACCCTGATTTCGGCAACCTTCAGGTGCTGCAGCAGGCTTTGCGAGGCTGCATCGAGGGCACGTTGCCCGGGCAGGCAGATTGTGTGACGCAGTTTTACCTTGGGGATCGCCGCCTCTCTTGCCAGGAGCGGAGCGCCCTGGCACAGGGCCATGTATGGCTAGATTGGTTCAGCATTCCGCAGGTGCGCGGCAGAACCAAAGATCGGCGTTCTTCGGTGAGGTCCATCCCGGCCTACGTGGATTCGTGCAACCTCTTCCTTGCTTTGGTCCCTCCACTGAGACATTCGGCCTCCGGAAAGCTTTGCGACTACGAGTCCTGGCTGGAGCGAGGTTGGTGCAGGGCACCTCGAGCTGATCTGGAGATGTTGTTTTCCCCACATCGTTCTGTGGGAGGTCTTGTTATTGAGCTGTATGGCAGGTGTGGCCCTAATTTTAAACCCGTTGTAGACCCTATGTCGCCCAGTAGGGCCCCCAAATCGGATCTCAGGCCGAGCTTTGGTGCGCCCAGCTGTCCAACAGAGCGGACTTGCCCATGGTGGTGGTGCACGCAGGGGATGACGCCGAGGTCGCAATGGCCAACCATTGGATCTTTGCACCTGCGCACGAGGGAGTCTTCACCGTGGATGCCGACCGCCATGAAGTCATTGACTTCATCGAGACGGCCCTGCGTGGACGCATTGCATTTCTCACGAAGCACAAGCAGCAGGTGGACTTGTGCCGGTATCTCAAAGCCAGGTTGCAGGATTGGCTTGGACTCCCCGATGCCCAACGCCCGCCAGCTTCCTTTCTGTCCCACTTCGGCTTCGCCGATATGAAGGAAGCCATCCGGACAAGGGCCGTGGGCGGCATGGCCTGCGCTGCTTTATCGGGTGATGTGTCCATGGTACGAGCACTTGCCGACGCAAAGGCCTCCATGAGCACGTTCTGCCACCCCATGTTGTCTGTTGGCGTCTTGGAGTACCCGCCCTTACACCTTGCCGTGGCACGTGGTGCCCGGGGTCACGCTGTGGTGCTGGAGCTGCTGCGCCAGAGAGCCGACCCCAACACAACCTGCCGCTTGGGTCTCCCGTGCCTTGGAAGTTGCCGTGATGCAGCTTCCGTTGAGATGCTGGTGCAGCATGGTGCGGATGTGAACTGGCGAGGTGGGAAGGTGTGGGTCACCCCTCTCGGCTATGCTTGCTCCAAGTTGGCACCTCTGGAAGTTACCAAGAAGCTGGTGGAACTGCAGGCAGATGTCAACTTGTCCACGACGCCCCTTTCCAATCTGGCTCTTTACAGCAGGACTGTCCCCAAGCTCGCCGTGAGCACTGCGCACGTCTTGCTCCAGGCTCGTGCGGACGTCAATCGGCCGGAGCGTCTCGTGGGCCTCTTCCGCGTCCTGGAGATTCTAGGCAGAGTGCAGTTATGCTTCAGGAGACGCAGCCAAGTAAGCCGGCTCTTCTCTGTGTATGCGGAAGGCAGCACGACGCCCCTCGGCTGGGCAGCCACTTCGGACAACGCGACTCTGGTGGAATTCCTGCTGTCGGCCAAAGCTGATCCAGATATTCCCAATCATCGTGGCCACACTCCCAGACAACTGGCAGTAGATGCTCGCGTTCGCAGCGTCTTCGCAGGCCACCAACCGGACGCAGTGTTCAATCACATCCCTTGCAAGGGCGACGGGCATCTTACACAATGCACCTCGCAGCTCGAAGATGATGATGCTGACATCTTGTCCTTGTGAATGCCTGGCAAAGTGGCCCCCCGGACAGGCCAACCGGGTGGTCTCGATGCCCTGCCCTACGAGCGGGGCTTGAAGGACTACTGTGGAGTTCACTCAAAGACCCCTACGGATTTTGGGGATTTTGGGCATCCTATGTCTTCAGAGGCGTCGAAGGTTTAGAGCTTAGAGGGTTATTGCATCGGGCTCTTGCGGGAAGATGCTTCAGAGATTAGATTACGGCGGTCTCCGTCGGAGCTCCACGAAATTGCAAGTTCTCAAATTTTGAAGATCCGCCCATTGACCGCGACAGCAGGCTTCCCTGCAAAGAGGAGTGAGACTTTAGGAGTCAGGGCGCAGTAGTTCATGCTATGGAAGTATGGGAAGTAGGGGTGCTGGTTCGGAGCTGATTCTGTTACTACGGGCCGGGAACCCTTGTGAATTGCAAAAAGTTGCCAGCCCCCAGAAGCCCTAGAAGCCTCGAGAACCCACATCTACGGAAGTGCGCCAGGGGCCCTGCGTCGGGAAAAATGTGTTGCTCGCGAAGTCAGCGCCGCCGCATCGGAGCAGCATCGGCAAACCTTCGCGGCATCTTGAGTCTGTGCTGTCGAACACATCCGGAGGTCTTTGAGCTCACGTTTCGAAATCTCGTGAGTTCTTAAGCCCAAGATGTCGGAGGTATAGCCTATATAGCTCTGCAGGCTGCACACCGTGCAGTTGACAGTTTTGAAGCTGGCGAGTGACCCAACAATTTTGTCTCAGAAGCCCAGTGGAAGGACCTCTGCAAATCCAGTTGTCTACGAATCTTCCTGAAGCGCTGAGCATACTGCACATCGCTTCGCCTTTTTTCAAGGTCCCCCCGAACGCTGCCATGTTGCCTTGGCACGTCTTGGGTCCCATCCCAGCGCCTCCAAGCTTCCCAAGCCCATCTTCAGTTTAGGATTTAGGATCTAGGGTTTAGGGTTTAGGGTTTAGGGTTTAGGCCCATGAAACAACCCTTCTTCCATTCTCTATGTTAGTTCTTTTTGTAACGAAAATAGCTGACCCCCAATCTAGGTCCCCAAAGAGTCAAGAAGGTACCCCAACTTCGGAAGGCCCCGTATGGTGTTCCTCATGGCAAGGGAAGGGAGGTGGGGGGGTGGGTGCTCCAGCTGCATCGTCAAGAAGGCGGCATCCTGGAGTTGGAAGAGTGGCCAAAGGGCATTTTTAAAGGCCCTTCGTTGGGTCTCGAGATTTTGAGCTGCTAGTGCTCACTAAAATGGGAGAGACACAGCAGCTGAGCCTGTTTTTAAAGCTCAAGCTGCTCACGCTTCTGTACAGACGTGTCTCGTGTGTCAGAAAAAGCACCCGAATCCGCACACTCCCGGGAACACGCTGCCCTCCGAGGCCTGCGTGGTTCGCAAGTCCTGCCCGTGAACTGCTTAAAATCTTAGTCTTCGCATCTATGCCCGGCTCCAGTTTGTGTTGTTTGTTGAACCCTAAATTAAACCCTAAACCCTTAACCCTTAACCCTTAGCCCTTAGCCCTTAACCCTTGGCCCTTAACCCTGAACCTTTAAACCCTAAACCCTAAACCCTAAACCCTAAACCCTAAACCCTAAACCCTAAACCCTAAACCCTAAACCCTGTGTTTGGGTCGTTCCAGTTTGGGGTTGGCTTTGAGAAGCTCTCGGGCATGAAGAGCTTTGAAAGCTCCGGATGCGCATGCAGCTTTTGTCCACTGCAGCGGCCAGTATGGCCCCTGTTCCCTCTTTAAGACGATCTGAAGAATTCAGTTCCTTAACCCTCCGACAAGTCGCTGGATCGCAGGGAGGATGAAGCCTTGGGGTCATTTTGCAAGTGAACATGAGGGTTGCTCATTGCTTCAAGAATAGGATGCCTTGTGCTTCCCAGAGCGTTCGAGCGCCCTGAGTCGCTTCTGGCCGTTAAAATGTGACTTGATGTGCATCCAGCTAAGAAAACAAGCTGCGCCCCAGGCGCAGTGGATTTTGCGCCCAAAGCCACGGTGCCCAAAGCCGTGGAGCCCTCGAAATCCTAAAGCCCAGGCCCTGGATCACCAGCTTTCTTGATGCTCCATCAGGGTCTCACTCCCCATCGGCTGAAGGGAATCCGTGATTCGTTTCAGATGGTCGGACTCAGTGACTCAGTGGTTCGCTTCAATGTTTTTGGGCTGTTCCGCGCATCAGACGCAGCTAGTGTTGCCGCACTGTACTTGCGCAAGTGTCATCATCAGATGACACGGACAGCGGTCAGATTGTGCCCTTTGGTAAAGATAGTTGCTTGATTTAGGACCAGATGGATTTTGCAGAGCTCTGGCCCAAACTCAAAAGCGTTGAAGTCTCTTAGTTGATTTCACACACCTCCTCATCATGCGCGCGATTCTGGTTGCCCGCAACCCAAGTTGTGACTTCGCTCATGCTTGCTGCAGATTTGCGATGCACGCTGTGACGGTGCGCTGACGTAGACCTCTAAATTCTTTATCCCCCTTGGGATTTTGTTATATAAAACCCAAGAGTACATTAAAAACAATACGTTTCAAAAGGTTCTAAGGGGAGTATAGAATATGACAGCCATCAGCCTGTAGGCCCTTATGGCGAGAACGGGGACCGGGGCTTCGGAAGTTGAAAGTCGAGGCCAAACGATCAGCTTTCGGATGATTCCAAGTGATCGTTTCATCTGTGTTGTGCATCGAAAGCTGATCACAAACCCTAAGGGTCCATGTACCTAAATAGGGAATACTTGGGCCTTAAAGTACCTCCTATTTCAGGTACATAGGCCCTTAGGGAAAAGCAGGCTGCGCCCCTTCTGTTCCTTTGCTACGCCTCTGCGAACTTTCATCTGGTTCAACTTGAAAGGAAGTTCGGGCAAATCGCATGTACAGCGAGGCGCCCCGCACATACATGTACGCCATGTTTATCTATGTATGTATGTGTATCTATATCTGTATATGTGGTCCCCCCCCCCCCCCCAATGATCTACCTCTCTCTTCTCTGTGTTGCTTGCTTTTGTACGACCATTCCTGCTTGCACGTTTTCGTCTAGATACTTGTGCTTGAATAGAAAACCGGTATTTACGAAGCTGTCTCGTGTCTCTATCTATAGAGCCAGATTCCAACTTGTTGCATGTCGTGTTCAAACCACCGAAACTCATAAGCAGAATCTGTTTGTGGATTTTTGTGTTAAGGTTTTTGTGATCCTTGTCCGCCCACATCAATCCATCATTCATCCACTCACTCCAAGACCACTGCCCGACCAATGCAACATCTTCAGGTCACGTAAATGCATCCAGGTTTCGTAGACATCTCCAGGAACCTGGACACAACTCACTTCTTTTTCGAAAGAACTGCAGCCAATCAATTTTGGAGCCTCCTGGATGTAAAGAAGTCCGGCCACACATGTATAAACTTGTCTGAACGGTCGTATTCGCGCATAAGGAATTCAGGCCCGGCAGACCCCCCAGATCGGATCTCGGCCACAGTAGTGACAGCAAAAGATTGCTCCTTTGAGGCCATGTTTGCCCTGCTCACGGTTGGCTCCTTTGCAGAAGCCTGGCTGAAATTCCACTCTTCTTCATTGCAAACTCTGGAGATGCAATGGTGTTGGGTAGTGCTGCTATGGCCTCCTCTTCTGGATTCGAGAATTCCGAAAATTCCTCCGGGCTCAGGATGAGTCGATGAAAGCGTTGGCTGCAGATGACGAGTCTGCCACTCTCAACTTGCTTCAGAAGAAGGGAGCTTTGCAAACCGAGGAGAGCGGGGTTTCGCAGTGTCTTGAGCACTTTCTCTAAATGATTGACAAAGATCTCGGTGGTCTTCTGCCCGTCGCTTCTCAATGACTCAATGAGTGGCTGTAAGTCGGTCATGTGCGCGGGCGTTCTCATGCGCAGTATGACATCTTGCTGCGAAGCTCCCCGAAGTAGCTCCCCCCCAAGCCGACGCAAGAGCCGCATGCACAGGGTATCATCATTGCTTCCTGGATGATCACAGCTCCTTGCAGGACGATAATGTGGAGGAGATGATGGATGCAGAGGTGGCTCTGGAGATGTCTACTCCAGGCCTGTATGCTTGCAGTGCTTTGCACCGCTTGCACTGCACAGGGCGCATGAAAGGACCTCAACTCGAGACGAACTAGCTTTGGAGAACCTGCCCCGGAGTCCTTTGTGCTTTGTGGCCAGACAAAGTGCAGCCCTGTGAGAAAATGACAGGAACGGGCTTCTTGGAGGAGGGCGAAGGTCGCTTCAGGCCCCTTCTTTTCGCTTCTGATGCCGTGGATCTTGGCAGTCCTTCAAGGGATCAGGTTCGCTCAGTGGTCCTTTTGGGTCAGATTCAATGGCATCCTCCTACAACTGGAAGACGCGTCCGGTTGTCCTGTCAAGAGGTAGAGAAAATACAGAGAGGTTTTCCAATCTGACATACAAAGAATAGTTAGGTTTTCCGATTCACACATAGAGCCTTTGGGTTGGGCACTTGTCCCGTAAGGAAGGGAAGGTTAGAAAGAAGGACATGCTTCAATAGCTCGTGCAAACTTGCTGTTCATGTCAGAGTGTTTGCAAATGGAGATGGGGGGAGAGGGGTTGGGGGGTGGGGGGGGGGGGGTGCGGGCTGCTGCTCCCCAACCCCGCGCTTTGTCATTGTTCAGCCCATGGACGCTTGCTTTGTAAAGAACATCAATGGTTGCGCCTCCCACCCCTCCCTCCCCCCCAACCCTCAACCCCTCCCCCTTCATGTTTCTGTTCGCGCGTGTAAGCTTGTAAGAAGATCATGTCCGGAAGAGGACTTGCATTCTTGCTTTGCATATTCAAAACATACGCATTCCTTCCAAACTCGAGATGAGAGCATAGCTTGCTTTGGACAGGGCGGTGCCCATGAAGAGGACTTGCGTTTAACAACACACTGGTCCTTGCCAAACCTGTGATGCCTGTCTGTACATGTAGAGGAAAAGAGAGGTTTGCCATAGCAAGTATGGAGGACGCACAAGAAGATGTAGGGAAAGCAAGGGATTTCCGATTAAAAAAGAGGTTCTCCTATTAAGAATACAAACAGACAAGAAGCTTCCCGATTACAGTATAGAGAAAGCGGAACTAAAATACAGAGACGACCGATGTCTTCCTATTCAAACATCGTGAAAACCAAGGGAATCCTAGTAAGATCTGCAGAAAATCGAGGTTTCGAATATAGAGTCTAGAGAAAGTGGAGGTTTTCGTAAACTAGCCAAAGCTTGTCTTGTTGTGCTTCATAGTGACACAGTGCTCCCAGCTTGTATGATTGCTCAAGAAGAGAGAGAGAGGCCTTGTATCTAGCATACTCACATATCCAAAGGCAGCCATACGACTACTCGGGTAGCGCAGCTAGTGGCAGAAGGCCCCTGCAGTTTCTGTCGCCAGGGTTTCTGAGCTTTTTTGTTTTTGCTGTTTCGCTGCTTCTGCCTGGCAGTTGTGGCGCGATCTTCTGTGCCTTGGCAGGATGCGGTTCTTTGCACTTCATAGCAAAGGCTGAACACCAGGGCAGGTGAAGGCGTGTAGAAGGCAATGTCAGCCATTCATGTGCCCCCTTTTTTGTTCCTCTGAGCCCTCATAAACCTCAACCTCAAAGCTGTGAGCCCCAAAAGCAAACCCGATTCCCAAACCAGAAAACCCCCAATCCTACACCCCAAAGCCCCAAAGCCCCAAAGCCCCAAAGCCCCAAAGCCCCAAAGCCCTAAAGCCCTCATGAGCCCCAAGCAGCCCTTGAAAATCCTAAACCCATTGAAAATAGCCCAAAGCCCTGACAAAAACAAAAGAAGGCCCTACGCCGCAGGGTGGCAAGCCCTACACTCTAGACCCTGAACCCTTGAACCCTCAACCTTCCCCTAGCCCTGAACCCCAAAAAACGACTGAGATCACCCAGAAGCCCCGCCAAAACGGCGAAAAGCGAGGAAACTGTCACAGAATGCGGATAGGCAACACAAGGATCAGGAGAACCAGATGGAAACAACAGACGCAGTTGACGGGCTAGTCTGCATAGAAAGCCTGACATGAATGACCTACATCGTGTTGCATTTCCAAGTCGTTCGAAGAACCGTGAAGCGAGCTTTCAGGGTTGCGGCTGTTTTGAAGGCTCGGACAGCCCTGGGAACTCCTGCTGCACGCAGAGGAAGAGCAAGATTTGCTGCGGACCAGGACAGGGTTCACAGGGTTCGGTGTTTTGGTCCAGAACGTTGGTGCAGAACCATCAATGCTGCGCACTCAAACTATGAACATCCTTCGGAGTGGGCGACCCCTCTTGTTTATCTGCACACTTTGCTGACATGCGCAAGGCGCGCGTCAAGCACCAAGCAGTTCCGCCGCCTGAGATTTTTTGGGGCTTGTGGGAGCATCTCCGAAGAGCACGTGTGGGCTGAGCTCTGCTACCTGCAGGATTCCATTGCAGCAGAAGCGACCGGGGCTTTGCCTTGTGCAAAAAGGGCCCCGCCCCCCCTGCCGGCCCTCCTGGCGTCCCTCCTGGCGTCCCTCCTGGCGTCCCTCTTGGCGTCGCTGGCCCCTGGGGCCCTGGCCCCTGGGGCCCTGGCGCCTGGCGGTGAGTGGCGCGAGGTGTCTCGGGGGGCTCCAGCTAGCGACTTGTTTGCTGAGTTGACGTGGGCGCAAGTTGCTAATTGCAGTAGAGTCTGAATGAAATCTCTGGTACCGCGACTCTGGGGCTCCTTTATTCTTGAATCCTTGAAGCTCTTCTGGGGGCCTGGCACAAGGGCCGAGGCAAATGGAGCTGCCACGTGCCCTATGCGGCCGTGGCATCCGCTATCCCCTCAAGTGAGCTGCCACGTGCCCTATGCGGCCGTGGCATCCATCCAGCAGCAGTCAATCGCGCGCAGTCGTGCAGCGTGCAAAAAAAGGAGTGCTAGGCCGTGGTTGCGAGGCAGTCGTCGAGATGCTGAGTTTATGACCTTACACACCTGGCATGGGAGTCACCACATGCCGGCTGCTGACACTCGTAGGTTCAGTCGCCTTTCGGCGTAGCAAATCCTGAAGTGCGACTTGGAGTTTGCAGAGCTCTGGCCCACAGTCAAAAGCGTTGAAGTCTCTTAGTTGATTTTGACACACCTCCTCATCATGCGCGCGATCCTGGTTGCCCGCAACCCAAGTTGTGACTTCGCTCATGCTTGCTGCGGACTTGTGATGCACCCTGCGACGTCTGCGCTGACGTAGACCTTAGAAGTGACAGCCTTCAGCCTTCATGGCGAGAACGGGGAACCAGGGCCCCCATGATCTACCTCTCTCTTCTCTGTGTTGCTGGCTTTTGTACAACCATTCCTGCTTGCACCTTTTCGTCTGAACTACCTGTGTTTGAGCGAAAACAGGGTCTTTTCGAAGCTGTCTCGTGTCTCTATCTATAGAGCCAGATTCCAACCTGTTGCATGTCGTGTTCCAACCACCGAGACTCATAAGCAGAGTCCGTTTCCGGAGTGTTGGTGTTAAGGTTCCTGTGATCCTTGTCCGCCCACAATCCATCACCCACTCACTCCAAGAACACTGCCCGACTAATGTGCTTGGTTTGATCAGTTTTTGCAGGTCATGTACATGAATCCTGATTTCGTAGATATCTTCAGGAACCTGGACACAATTCACTTCCTTTCGAAAGAACCACTTTAACAGCTGTTTGCTTCGACAGTTGCTCGGAGATGAATTCAGCCAATCCATGTTGGAATTCAGCCAATCAATTTTGGAGCCTCCTGGGTTTAAAGAATTCTGGCCACACATAGCACATGTAAACGTATAAACGGTCGTATTCGCGCATACAAGAACTGGATTCAGGCCCGGCAGACCCCCCAGAGCAGGATCTCGGCCACAGTAGTGACAGCAAAAGATTGCTCCTTTGAGGCCATGTTTGCCCTGCTCACGGTTGGCTCCTTTGCAGAAGCCTGGCTGAAATTCCACTCTTCTTCATTGCAAACTCTGGAGATGCAATGGTGTTGGGTAGTGCTGCTATGGCCTCCTCTTCTGGATTCGAAAATTCCTCTGGGCTCAGGATGAGTCGATGAAAGCGTTGGCTGCAGATGACGAGTCTGCCACTCTCAACTTGCTTCAGAAGAAGGGAGCTTTGCAAACCGAGGAGAGCGGGGTTTCGCAGTGTCTTGAGCACTTTCCCTAAATGATTGACAAAGATCTCGGTGGTCTTCTGCCCGTCGCTTCTCAATGACTCAATGAGTGGCTGTAAGTCGGTCATGTGCGCGGGCGTTCTCATGCGCAGTATGACATCTTGCTGCGAAGCTCCCCGAAGTAGCTCCCCCCCAAGCCGACGCAAGAGCCGCATGCACAGGGTATCATCATTGCTTCCTGGATGATCACAGCTCCTTGCAGGACGAGAATGTGGAGGAGATGATGGATGCAGAGGTGGCTCTGGAGATGTCTACTCCAGGCCTGTATGCTTGCAGTGCTTTGCACCGCTTGCACTGCACAGGGCGCATGAAAGGACCTCAACTCGAGACGAACTAGCTTTGGAGAACCTGCCCCGGAGTCCTTTGTGCTTTGTGGCCAGACAAAGTGCAGCCCTGTGAGAAAATGACAGGAACGGGCTTCTTGGAGGAGGGCGAAGGTCGCTTCAGGCCCCTTCTTTTCGCTTCTGATGCCGTGGATCTTGGCAGTCCTTCAAGGGATCAGGTTCGCTCAGTGGTCCTTTTGGGTCAGATTCAATGGCATCCTCCTACAACTGGAAGACGCGTCCGGTTGTCCTGTCAAGAGGTAGAGAAAATACAGAGAGGTTTTCCAATCTGACATACAAAGAATAGTTAGGTTTTCCGATTCACACATAGAGCCTTTGGGTTGGGCACTTGTCCCGTAAGGAAGGGAAGGTTAGAAAGAAGGACATGCTTCAATAGCTCGTGCAAACTTGCTGTTCATGTCAGAGTGTTTGCAAATGGAGATGGGGGGAGAGGGGTTGGGGGGTGGGGGGGGGGGGGTGCGGGCTGCTGCTCCCCAACCCCGCGCTTTGTCATTGTTCAGCCCATGGACGCTTGCTTTGTAAAGAACATCAATGGTTGCGCCTCCCACCCCTCCCTCCCCCCCAACCCTCAACCCCTCCCCCTTCATGTTTCTGTTCGCGCGTGTAAGCTTGTAAGAAGATCATGTCCGGAAGAGGACTTGCATTCTTGCTTTGCATATTCAAAACATACGCATTCCTTCCAAACTCGAGATGAGAGCATAGCTTGCTTTGGACAGGGCGGTGCCCATGAAGAGGACTTGCGTTTAACAACACACTGGTCCTTGCCAAACCTGTGATGCCTGTCTGTACATGTAGAGGAAAAGAGAGGTTTGCCTTAGCAAGTATGGAGGACGCACAAGAAGATGTAGGGAAAGCAAGGGATTTCCGATTAAAAAAGAGGTTCTCCTATTAAGAATACAAACAGACAAGAAGCTTCCCGATTACAGTATAGAGAAAGCGGAACTAAAATACAGAGACGACCGATGTCTTCCTATTCAAACATCGTGAAAACCAAGGGCTTCCTAGTAAGATCTGCAGAAAATCGAGGTTTCGAATATAGAGTCTAGAGAAAGTGGAGGCTTTCGTAAACTAGCCAGAGCTTGTCTTGTTGTGCTTCATAGTGACAGCTCCCAGCTTGTATGATTGTTTGCTCAAGAAAAGAGAGAGGCCTTGTATCTAGCATATTCACATATCCAAAGGCAGCCATACGATTACTCGGGTAGCGCAGCCAGTGGCAGAAGGCCCCTGCAGTTTCTGTCGCCAGGGTTTCTGAGTTTTTTGTTTTTGCTGTTTCGCTGCTTCGGCCAGTTGTGGCGCGATCTTCTGTGCCTTGGCAGCATGCGATTTTTGCAGTCACTTCATAGCAAAGGCTGAACACCAGGGCAGGTGTGTAGAAGGCGTGTGGCAATGTCAGCCATTCATGTGCCCCCTTTTTTGTTCCTCTGAGCCCTCATAAACCTCGACCTCAAAGCTGTGAGCCCCAAAAGCAAACCCGATTCCCAAACCGGAAAACCCCAAATCCTACACCCCAAAGCCCTAAAGCCCTCATGAGCCCTCATGAGCCCCAAGCAGCCCTTGAAAATCCTAAACCCATTGAGCCCAAAGCGCTGAAAAAACAAAAGAAGGTCTAGATCCTGAACCCTTGAACCCTCAACCTTCCCCTAGCCCTGAACCCCCAAAAACGACTGAGATCACCCAGAAGCCCCGCCAAAACGGCGAAAAGCGAGGAAACTGTCACAGAATGCGGATAGGCAACACAAGGATCAGGAGAACCAGATGGAAACAACAGACGCAGTTGACGGGCTAGTCTGCATAGAAAGCCTGGCATGAATGACCTACATCGTGTTGCATTCCCAGTCGTTCGAAGAACCGTGAAGCGAGCTTCCAGGGTTGCGGATGTTTTTGAAGGCTCGGACAGCCCTGGGAACTCCTGCTGCACGCAGAGGAAGAGCAAGATTTGCTGCGGACCAGGACAGGGTTCACAGGGTTCGATGTTTTGGTCCAGAACGTTGGTGCAGAACCATCAATGCTGCGCACTCAAACTATGAACATCCTTCGGAGTGGGCGACCCCTCTTGTTTATCTGCACACTTTGCTGACATGCGCAAGGCGCGCGTCAAGCACCAAGCAGTTCCGCCGCCTGAGATTTTTTGGGGCTTGTGGGAGCATCTCCGAAGAGCACGTGTGGGCTGAGCTCTGCCACCTGCAGGATTCCATTGCAGCAGAAGCGACCGGGGTTTTGCCTTGTGCAAAAAGGGCCCCGCCCCCCCTGCTGGCCCTCCTGGCGGCCCTCCTGGCGTCCCTCTTGGCGTCGCTGGCCCCTGGGGCCCTGGCCCCTGGGGCCCTGGCGCCTGGCGGTGAGTGGCGCGAGGTGTCTCGGAGGGCTCCAGCTAGCGGCTTGTTTGCTGAGTTGACGTGGGCGCAAGTTGCTAATTGCAGTAGAGTCTGAATGAAATCTCTGGTCCGCGACTCTGGGGCTCCTTTATTCTTGAAGCTCTTCTGGGGGCCTGGCACAAGGGCCGAGGCAAATGGAGCTGCCACGTGCCCTATGCGGCCGTGGCATCCGCTATCCCCTCAAGTGAGCTGCCACGTGCCCTATGCGGCCGTGGCATCCATCCAGCAGCAGTCAATCTCGCGCAGTCGTGCAGCGTGCAAAAAAGGAGTGCTAGGACGTGGTTTCGAGGCATTCGTCGAGATGCTGAGTTTATGACCTTACACACCTGGCATGGGAGTCACGACATGCCGGCTGCTGAAACGCGTGGGCCCAGTCGCCTTTCGGCGTAGCAAATTCTGCAGTGCGACTTGGAGTTTTTGCAGAGCTCTGGCCCAAAGTCAAAAGCGTTGAAGTCTCTTAGTTGATTTTGACACACCTCCTCATCATGCGCGCGATCCTGGTTGCCCGCAACCCAACTTGTGACCTCGCTCATGCTTGCTGTGGATTTGCGATGCACGCTGTGACGTGTGCGCTGACGTAGACCTCAATGTGACAGTCGTCAGCCTTCAGGGCGAGAACGGGGAACCAGGGCCCCCATGATCTACCTCTCTCTTGTGTTGCTGGCTTTGTACAACCATTCCTGCTTGCACCTTTTCGTCTAAATACCTGTGCTTGAGCGAAAACAGGTTTTTTTTCGAAGCTGTCTCGTGTCTCTAGCAAGACAGCCAGATTCCAACCTGTTGCATGTCGCGTTCAAACCACCGAGACTCATAAGCAGAGTCCGTTTCTGGATTTTGGTGTTAAGGTTTCTGTGATCCTTGTCCGCCACAATCCATCACCCACTCACTCCAAGAACACTGCCCGACTAATGTGCTTGGTTTGTTCAGTTTTTGCAGGTCATGTACATGAATCCTGATTTCGTATATATCTTCAGGAACCTGGACACAATTCAATTCCCTTTCGAAAGAACTACTTTAACAGCTGTTTGCTTCGACAGTTGCTCGGAGATGAATTCAGCCAATCCATGTTGGAATTCAGCCAATCAATTTTGGAGCCTCCTGGATTTAAAGAATTCTGGCCACACATATCACATATAAACGTATAAACGGTCGTATTCGCGCATATAAGAAATGGATTCAGGCCCGGCAGACTTTCCAGAGCTTTTTCTCGGCGCCAGCAAAAGATTGCTCCTTTGAGGCCATGTTTGCCCTGCTCACGGTTGGCTCCTTTGCAGAAGCCTGGCTGAAATTCCACTCTTCTTCATTGCAAACTCTGGAGATGCAATGGTGTTGGGTAGTGCTGACATGGTCTCCTCTTCTGGATTCGAAAATTCCTCCGGGCTCAGGATGAGTCGATGCAAGCGTTGGCTGCAGATGACGAGTCTGCCACTCTCAACTTGCTTCAGAAGAAGGGAGCTATGCAAACCGAGGAGGGCGGGGTTTCGCAGTGTCTTGAGCACTTTCCCTATAAATGATTGACAAAGATCTCGGAGGTCTTCTGGCCGCTGGTTCTCAATTAAGCCTGTAAGTCGGACTTGCTTTGCTACCTCCCGGCCGGCAACAGCGGAGCTCCCCCAAAAGTAGCTCCCCCGAAGCTGACGCCAGAGCCACATGCACAGGGTGTCATCATTTTTCACCCGGATGATCACACCTTGTTAGGACGAGAATGTGGAGGAGATGATGGATGCAGAGGTGGCTCTGGAGATGTCTACTCCAGGCCTGTATGCTAGCTTTGCAGAACCTGCCCCGGAGTCTTTCGTGCTTTGTGGCCTGACAAAGTGCAGCCCTGTGAGGAGCGGCCTTCTTGGAGGAGGGCGAGGGTCGCTTCAGGCGCTTCTGTTCACTTTCTGAAGTTGAGTGAAGTAGTGAAGTGCTGCCGTGGATCTTGGCAGTCCTTCAAGGGATCATGTTCGCTCGGTTCTTTTCAGTCAGATTCGAAATCATCCTCCTGCAACTAGAAGGTGCGTCCCACTGTCCTGTCAGGAGAAAGAGAACATACAGAGGATTTCTGTTTTAAAATGTAGAGAATACTTTGGTTTTCCGATTCAAACATAGAGCTGTTGGGTTGGCCACTTGTCCCGTAAGTAAGGCAGGAAAGAAGGAAGGAAATACTTTCATGGCCCGTGCAAACCTGCTTTTCATGCCAGACTTGTGTTTGCTGGTGGCGATGGGGTAGCGGGGGGGAGGGGGGCGGGCTGCTGCTCACCCCAATCCCGCGCTTTGTCGTTGATTGCGCAGCCCATGCAAACTTGCTTTGCTTTGTCACGAACATCAGCCCACGAAGCGGACGGGTCTTTTGAAAACGATTCTTTGCAAATGCGCCTCCCCCAACCCTCCCACCCCCCTGTGTGTCTTTCTTGCTTTGGTTCTTGCCTTCCCTGTCTGTACATGTAGAGGCAATAGAAGTTTTCCTAAGCAAGTATAGAGGACGCAGAAGAAGATGTAGAGAAAGCAAAGGATTTCCGATTGGAAAAGAGGTTCTCAGGCTCCTATCCAGAATGCAAACAAAATAGAAGCTTGCCGACTCTACAGTGTAGAGATCAAGGAACGAACATATAGAAATGATCGAGGTTCTCCCATTC